CTGGGAGCTGGTGACAAAGGTGCTGTTGGCAGCACAATCTGCTCTGGGTCCTCACTGTGATGGGCACAGGGTGTGGGACAAGCCATGGTCTCCAGTCACAGTTTGCTTGGCATTTCTGTGAAGGTTCTCCAATCAGTGTGATGTTCCTGGCCCCTGGAGTGAGTCCCTGGAAAACAACATTACCTGGAGTGAGCAATGGAGCCAACAACCCTGCGATTCGGGTGATCGACTATGATCAGGACACCCTTCAGGTCTTGGTAGGGGATACCTGTGTGCACCACACTGCAGCTCTGGAACAACTTTAATTCCCCCCTGGAGTCAAAACAGGCTTTTCAGGATTTCTCAGTCCACAGAAGTTGAGTGGCTGTATAGGAGAGGACTCTGACCCAGGGTATTTCAGCCTCGTGTCTGGCACAAAGATTTAGTCAGAGTGTCAGTGAGTCAAAGCATGGCCCTGGCAGGCAGTGCTTCCTGCTGGGATGAGTTCCCCCAGGCAGGGTCAGACAGTTTTTGTGGTGTTCTTCATGTCCTTAGTGAGCTCCCTTTGACGTTTGCTTTGCTCCACAGGTAGGATGTATCACAGAAATACTCTGAGTAATAACAGACCCCTTCCAAGTTGTCAGACCCCCTCCAAAATCTTTAAGCCATCTGAAAAATTATTTGAGTCCCTCTACTTGCTAAAAATGATGCATTCAGAGTGGATCTGAATTGAGGTAAATTGTAGGAGCAGCTTCTCTTTGCCAAGAGGTAGAGGACGGGTGTTTAGGTGGAGGACAGGTGCTTATGGCCTCCTTTGGGATGAAGTAGTGAACGAAGCTCTCTGTAGTTGCTTTGTTTAGATGTTTATAGCACAGAAGTGAATGTTAAAATATGCTGTGCAAGGCTGGGGAGCCAGTGAAGCAGAGAGAAAAAGGACAAGAGACTGAGAACAGAAGCCATGAAAAACGTGATTCTTGAGTTTGTTCACAGTTGAGAAGATAACTTCTAATAACAAATAACACTCCTGCAGCCCTTGCTTCTGCTGCTGGACAGTGTTGATAGTAACTGACTGATGTCTGAAGCAGGCCAGGCTCAAAGCTTCTGATGCCTGGAGGTCAGTCAAGCAGAGCAAAGCCACCCCTCCAGCCCTTAGGAAACAGGCCGTGTTTGGGGTGGGTTCTGGAGGGTCTCACCTGACCTGTCCCCAGGTGCCCATCTCAGTAGGAAGTTCTGTCAAGGGCAGCTGATCCCTTGGGGTAGAGGGTGCTGCAGTGGGGGCCAAGCCCAGCCCAGTGTCTCACGCCAGGGCCAATCTTGTCTTGATGTCTCCCCAGTTCTGTTTTTCTCTCCCTCAGGATATGGTGACTTACTACTTGAACCTCACTCATGCCAACATGATGGAATCACCATGGAAGGAAGAGTTCCCAGAGTGGGAAGAAGAGTACAGACTGACAGGAGCCTTCCAGGTCCCTAATGGCTCTGCACACTCCATGCAGATGGTGCTGGAGAGGATCTGGAAGGACCCACACTACTTACAGCTGTACTATGAGTTTAACTCTGCCAGGTATGACCTGGAGCCATGCAAGCAGGAATGCCGAGTGGATCACCTGTGTGCCATCAGGGAAGTCGATTTTGTAAAGTACAATGAGTGTGTGAAAACCAACAGCTCTGCCTCTGCTGCTAGCAGCGTTTGGCTTTTGGTTTTCTGCATGTTCTTAGGATTTCTCAGTTCTCAGCGAGTGCTGTGATGGCCAAGAGCAAGAGGAAAGGAGGAGGGCACGAGATCACACTACACTGTGTGTGAATTGGTGATTCTGGCATTGAGAACTTGCTTGGAAACCAGGACAAAATTGTCAATGTTTACTAAAGCCCTGTGATGCCAATTTGAAATTTTCTAAACAAGCTGGATGTGTGAAGAGCAATGTTGAGCAGTGTTTTTGAGATCCTTGTTGTGCCAAAGTGGCTGCAACAAGGAGTGTGCCCCTCTGTTGGGACTGCTGGGGCCACCTCACAAATGAGATGAAGACCAGGCCTCACTGTGGACATGAAGTGGCAAGGGGTGAGGATAGGGAGCAGCCACATGTTCCAGAGGCCACTGCCAGCATTCCTTATGTTGGAACACACTTGTGCAAGTCTGCAGAGCTGGTGACTCAGGAAATCTTGTAGTGGCTTTGTTCCACAGCAGCCTGTGGCTTATGAGCAAAGTGAGGTGGGATGGCAGTGTCTGGACTTCAGCAAACTTTGGTGTCTCAGTGCTGAAGAAGAGGCACTGATGATTATTTGTGCCTCAGTTGTTGAGAATAAACAGCTTTCTTCACTTGCCTCCACTGAGTTCCCTCCCTCAGCTGGGCTTGGCAGCTGATCTGGGCCACTTGGCCAGTGAGGTCTGAGGTGGTGATTTAAGCATTGGGTTTGTCAGCTGCTCTGAGACCCGGCAGGGAACCAGTCCTCAGTGCTGGTATTGGGCTGCAGGGGGTGCAGGATGAGTGCTCTGTGTTGTGTGAACGTGGCTCTGGGCTCTCCCGGGGGTCCGATGGGAGGAGTGGACTGGGGGGGGAAGTTCTTTTTTTGCTGGGGTTGGTGCTTGCCCCAGAACCACCTCAGCGTGTGTGGAGCCATGTGTGGGTGCTCAAACACCCAGTTAAGGGCTGGGACCCACTGTGGGCCTGTTCCTCCTTCCCCTCCCACTGCCAGATTGAGAGTTTTGAGCACAAAGAACTTCAGATGCTCAGACTGTCTTTGCCTTTTTTTGAAAAAACACATTGTAAACAGCAGTTGACATCTGAGCCCAGCATCAGCCATTGCACAGCCCCAGGTCCTTGGCTTGTCCCAAGCTATGTCTTACAGTCCTGTGGTCTCTCTTGATGCCATTGAGGTTTCATGTTTTACTTTGGTGTAATTGTAAGTACACACTCCACCTGGCCACTCACCTGTTCTGCACTGGAAGCTATTCCTGCTCTCCTGAAGGGCCCCAGGGAGATCTCATCTCCACCCCAACAAGTCCTGCTTCCAGGCCTGTTGGCACAGGGGCTGATATTTTGGTACTTCACTGTCCATGGGGTACCTCAAATCCAGCTCTTGGGTTGCCTGCTGGATGCTGCACACTTTATTTATGTATTTCCAAACCAGGGTGGAGGGGTTACAGTGGTAACCCAAACGTTCTGCAAGGACAGATCTTCCTGGACACTACTACCATTTTCTTTAGCTCATTGATTCAGCTGCAAATTAGTCTCCACTTTGTTCCCATCTCTGCATTCCCCCTGCAGAGGGCTTCAGAGTCTGCAAGTTTCCTCCCTTTTAATCCTTCATTGAATACAGATTAACACATCCAAACTGACAGTGTCAGACCACATAGGGAACACCACCACCACCTCTTCCAGCTATTTCTGCCTGTGGCAGGTGAGCAGTTGGCACATGAACTGTGAACTTCAGCCTTGTGTCAACACTGCAGTGCAAGTGCACCTGCCCCAGCTGCTGCTGCACTGGGAAAAAACTTAGGTATGCCCTAAATATTACAGAATTCAGCAAAGCTGGGGAGTTTCTCTCAACCCTACGGGTTACCTGTGGTTACCTGTACCCAGTTTGCTGTTTGTTACTGTAGCTGTCCCCAGAGAACCCAGGGCAGGCTGCAGATGCAGACAGGGGATGGTGCCCAAGGCAGGCTGAGTAATGAGAGCAGCAAAGATGGGATCTGGAGTACAACTTACAAAGAGGATTACACCAGAACCAGGTAAAACTCGACTTGGAAAACAAAAGCAACCACTGTTCAAAATCCACTGTTAAGCGTGTCACTTGTGTACCAAAGTGCAGCCTGAGGCAGCAGAGCAGGTCACAAAGCAGCTGGGGCAGCTTTAGGAGCTGCAGCCTGAGGCTGCCCAAGGACAAGGCCTGCAGGGAGAAGAGCACTTTGCCTTGGCAGGATCCTCCCAGGAGCCACAGCACCATGGGCAGGCTCAGCTGTACCAGTGCACACTGGAACAAACACACTACACTCTCCAACCTGGCAAAATCTGCATTTAATTTACAACATAGTAAAGGTTACAGGTAAAAAGCTCAACAGAAGTGTGAAAAGGCCTATTACATATTACACAAGTGTACAAATGTCTGTACAAAGCTCCTCGATGTTCCTGTCCCCCTCGTGGCCAGCTGTGGCCCCTAAGCTCTGAAATAATAAGAGCTGGTTCAGAGTCTGGGAGGAGAAGAGCTTTAAAAAACAACGAGCAGTGAAGTTTCCCGTATCAAGAAAAATCTTGCAAAGAGCCACTTGCAAAAAAAAAATCCCCCAAACCCCCAAACCCAACCCTCTTCCCCCCAAAATAAAACCCCAAAACAAAAAGAAGGAAACCTGCTCAACTTCTGTTTGTCCTGACTAGTCTTACCCTAAAGAGTTGCCTTCAGAAAGCAACTGGCTGGGAAATGAAAATCCTACAGGCCAGACTAAAGACAGGAAGATTTTGAGTCATTGTGGGAGCACCTGGAAGCAGAACAAGTGCCCCAAGGCTGAATCATCAATGGCAACTTAACAGAGCAATGCACCTGGATCATGGAGCAGGTGCTGAATCCACACAGGGAACAGTGTGGGCTGGATGTGATGGTGTGGGGAGGGAACAGAGCAGTCTCTAAGCCATGGCTCCTGTGAGCTGGGCAGCTGCCTGCTGGCACCTCAGGAACATGATAGAAGCAATCACTGTGGAGCAGAACTCACACAGATTTTGGGGCATCTGTCTGAAACGGGTCAGATGCATCCAACATCCCA